TTTCTGGAAATTCGTCTCGTCCCACATTATTGACAAAGACAAAGCTTGTTTCCAAATACATACTGCATTAGTCTCCAAGGGCGACATTCATTGAACTCACACTGAGGATATCACTTCCTTTACCAAGTTCTCAGAATGCTGGCCTTACTACATCAACCAAACCTATGTACTTCCTTCTTGTCCTTCGACATCTGATCCTTTGTACACAGGAACTTTCACTCTGACCAACTTGAGAAAAGTTAGTATTCCTCCAAACATTGCTTGTCCCTAAGAGAAGGTTAAATCCTAATACGTCAATTAAATTCCCCATATTTACTCCAGCTCACAATAACTGCTCATTTCTCTATTTACTTTCATGACAAATAGAAGTGATGTGAATGTGAGTTACTTTAAATAATTAGTGAACTGGTTTTCAGGATAAATTAAAACCATTTATAGAGATTATTTTCTCTCTCTCCCATTTCCCTTTTTCTCTCTCTCACCTCTCCCTCCCCCCTCTCTCTTTGGGTGTAGGGAATTTCACTCTTTCTTTATATTCTTAGTTATCTATATCACAAACCTGCCCAAGCAGGTTCTAAAAACTGAGAAGGTTAATTGATTGACCAATTGATTAGAACACTGTGAAATGTTTTATTAAGCATGATTGAATAATCTGGTTGGATTGTTGTTTTCAAAGCTCCATAGGATATAAGCATTCTACTTATACTGTTTAATCTTTCTTTGTAATCCTGTCAAATATTTTCCAGCAGTTGGAGAGAAAGCCAAAGATTAGATCTAAATTGAAAGTTACTGAGCCATTTGGAATTTCAAAGCCATTGAAAGAGAAAAATCAAAAAGCTGCTGAAATGAGTCCACTCTCACAGCAAATGGCTGAATGTGTCCTTGTGATGTTTGTTCATGGGATCTGTGACTAAATATAGGCATCACAAATGCACATCAAGATGTCATACCAGGGATTGGATTCGGGGGTAGATTGGTAGATGGACCTATGAGTAAAACACTAATTGTTTCAAACTCAGATCAGATGCCTAGAACTCATGTTAAAGGACAGGCAGGCATTAAACCCAGCCTGCAATCTCAAATCTCAAGAGCATGTAGCCAAATCATGGAGCTCTGAGTTCAATTGGTAGACCCTGTTTCAATATGTAGTGTCTAGGGAGACTAGCATCCTATGCCAACCTCTGGTTTATACAGTACCTGCACACATACAGCTGAACATACACACAAGCACAGTCATGCAATAATTTGAGGAACATACAGGGACAATGGTTTAAAGAACATATCTGACTAAGGAAAAAAATCACTAATGAAGGAAGACTGAGCTAGAATATGTCACTATGTCAGGGACAAAGCACCAGGGGAAACAATTTTCAGGGCAGATAAGAAGTGGAAATTTACTTCTGTTTGAAGTTTTAGTACAGTTAAAGTTACTTTTAAAATCTAATTAATTTTGTGTATTTAGGAAATTTTCAAGCCTGGTCTTCATTATAACTTTGCTTTATCATATGACAGGTGTTCAATCTGTGTTTACTGAATGAATAGGCATATACACTACACAGACATCTCCAGCATACCATATATCTTAATGATAAATAAACATTTCCTATGATATATGCAATATTTACATATGAATTAATTTCTACAATGATAACTATATTAAAAAGAAGTATAGGTGGTGAAAATGATAAGATCTCGATATTCTAGCATGACTGCCTTAACTTTCTGAAGCAAACCTAAGTAAAACAACTAGTCTTCTTTATATAGATAAGACTGAGACTAAGACATGCACAGGACATGTTTAATGCAGTGTTTGTATATGTGAATGATAACACTCTTCCTACTGGATACCAGCATGCTGTGTACCATCTGGTTCATGAAGTGATTGTGTTTTCACCACAATCACTTCAGTTGTCCTGTGGAACCGCTATACCATCCATCTTCTCTGAACATATTTCCTGGATCATCCTAAGTACAATCTCAGAGTTTCACTTCACCATTTCCTTTTCAAGTTAGAGTGTGACAGCACCTTATCACTAATGGTGCTTAAGATTTTTACAACATTATGTTTACCCATTGAATTTTGCAATGCCTTATTCCTACAATACATGGGGGTGACCAATTTATATACAGATTTCATGGAAATAAAACTTGTAATTGGTACTTGCTAGAAGAAAAGAGGTCATCATAGTCACTTCTGGTTGCTCATGTTTTATACCAAAAGAAGTCCACAGTTTAGAGGGACTTTGTTCCATATCAGTGATTTATCTCCAACCATATAAAAATATGTGCATAAAATAATAACATTTCTGCCAAATGAGACCTAGTCAGGGCTTTGAAATTAAACCAGTTTCATATAAGATGTTGGCTGTGTGTATTGGGTTATATAACATTTGGAAGGATGGTGCATAAGATAGGTAAGAAAAGAAATTGTTTTTCATTGAAAATTGATTTAATCAAGTATTTTGAACCAATTTATTCTCCAGGAAATATATAAAATATAAATTTTCACTCTCTAACCACAAGCTATAAAAAGTTTATCTGGAAAACAAAATACAGAAATGTTATCATGTTTCACATGAGCCCTTAAGAAACATCCTTCCTTTAAATAAATTTTCCTGAGTTGGATTTAATTATTTTTACAGTAGAGAACTTAGGCACAAAAGCATGAATGCAAATTAAATTATTGTCTAGACAAATGCATCATAATATTTTCCCTTACAGCTGTATCCTGCTTTCAATGTTTTCACGAAAAGATTCACTTAAATCAAATTTGTAATAATCAATCACACTGTAAATGCACTGAGTGAATTTTTTACTTAAAGTACTGCCCCAGAGTGAATTGCAAAAATAATAATCCTTGGTGACATTGCAATCTTCAACTGCCTTCACTGTTGTATAGATCTGTCTTTACATTTGACAAATCTGCCTTAAGACATGTCTTCTCAGAAATATTGAAAAGTCTGTTAGCATCATCAGAGAGTTGTTTATCCACCATCCTTACATGTTAGTGACATTTCTGGCAATACATACTAGATAATCAAATTAACAATAGCAAAAGTTTGGTTTGCCATATACTTCAGAGTTCCTAATCTAGGTTCCAATTTTTTTTTTCTCTCTTATGTGGTGGGAACCACATGACAGGTGTTTATGAAGTAGCAAAGTCATCTATCAAGGGTTAGGGTGCAATAGTAGAAATGGGATGGGAGTGAAGACTACTGTTCTCAAGTATATGTGTTCAATAATGGGAAGACTTATGACTAGGCTCCATTCTTTAGATTTTTCCATTACTGTCAAATGACATAAGCCAGGAACAAAAGCCTTATTCTAATATAACTCTTTGAGGGACAACTCAAACCCAAACTACACTGCTCATTTTTACTGTACAAAGCCCATGAGGAACACAGGTCACAGCTGTTAAAAGCATGAAGGGACATACTGCAAAATTAAGAGTTATGTGACTTTGCAGAGAGTTCTAGGGGGCAAGACCTTGCTGTAGGTTGAATACTCTCAGGAAGTGGAGATAACTGTATGATTTTGTTTTGTTTTGTTTTGTTTTGTTTTTTTGTATTTTAAATTCTTTTAAATTTTATGTGAATAGGTGTTTTGTCTGAATGCACTTATTCATCACTTGTTTGCAGTGCCCCAGGAGGGCCTAAGAGGGCAATAGACCCAATGGAAGACACTGAGCTACATATGGTTGTTAGCTGCAGCGTGGTTCCTAGGAGTTGAAACCCTGATCCTCTAGAAGAGCAGCAAGTGCTCCTAACCATGACTGAGAAATTGCTCCTCTCATCTAAAGATGAGAAGGCTAAATCCCAGAACTGTGAGTGGCAGGGAAGCAGCAGGCACTCACACTGGACAGGAAAGAGAAGTGCTTGGCAAATGGGAAGTATTGTATGGTATTGGAGTGGCCTTGCTATTGTCTTGTTTGCCATGACCACACATGAGGACATGCTGTGAAAATGCTCAAGTCAACTGTGGAAAAATCAAGTCCTGACAGACCATAACCAGCAGAAATAATGCCAAGTTGCCAAGTTCTTGCTGGGGGGAAGACACCAGGGTGGCTGCTGAATGTCAGTAACAATGTTTTTCCTTCTCTTCTTAAATGTGTGAAATCTCCTGGTTAGCATTTGAACATTTTACAGCAATTAAGTCTGTAAAACATATGAAGGAATACATACCATCATATCAATTTTTATTTATTCAATTATTTATTTACAAACATGTTTGTGTATCTCTTCAGGGTCCAGAACTCACACAGATCTACCTGTCTGTGTCTTCAAACAAAAGCACACTGTCATTTACAAAACATAACATCAGTAAGTTTGTGCACTTAGTTATCTGAGTAGGACTCTCAATATGACCTCCCACTGTTTTTATGCATTGATGTAGTACATTTTCATCCATCTTATTCTTAAACGTCTCATTAATTCTTCATTTTGCAAAACATCCTCACGTCACCAGTATAATACCTAGCTTGCATAGATCTCAATTTCTCAAGTTGCAAGTTATGAATTACTGTCAGTCTAATTGAAAATCCCTTCATCACAAAGAACTTCAATTCACAAATCACCAAAAAAATATATACCTTTGTTTCTTATAAAGTATAACTTTTGTGACATTTTAAGGAACTTGATTTCCCAATGAGTAATGTCATATTATTTATTTAATTTCTGTTAACATTTATTGAGTAGTATACTATATGTTCTGTAGATAAAACCTGATAAAGTCTCTGAATAAATCCCTTCACTCCACTTTTGATAAGCAACATTGTACTTCAGAGATACTGTGTGTAGCTTTAAGTGACAAAAGAAATGCAAAAATAGTTGAATTGAACACAGACAATTTCCTGAGCCCAGATCCCAAAACACTTAAGATTTGAGATTATATATCCTAGGGAACATGCAAAACTCTAATACATCATTTATTTATTTTTTTAATATTTCACTACTATTGCTTTATGGCCTTTTGGAGAAAATTTACTTGCCAGGAACTATGATAAAAATAAGAAATATTTCACTAGCATAAGTGTTGTCCTTGTATGGGACCCATACTATAATTTTCTGTGTCATTGCAAATATAATATATGTGCTATCAAAGCAAGCATTCTTATTCCTAAATTCCAATATTTTTACATCTCTACTTGTCAAACTATATATCATAGACACCATAAACTACAAAGAGTTTAGGGGAAAGAGAAAGTATGTTTGAAGGTCTAAATTTTGGTGTTTCCTATGCAGATATTGAGAGAATTTTTGAAGTTTGTATAACTCTAAACTCTCTAGTAAAAAATTAATGCCTACCATTTCAATATGTCACATAATCAGAAAAAAAAAGAATAGTTAAGATGGAGGACAGAGCTGGTGAATTACTGCCTCCAAAATCAATATAGAAAATAAAAATACGATAAAAGTACAACAGCCAACAATCTGTGGGATGTGAAAAGAAGCTGGAATAAATACAAGAGGCATAGGCAATTTAGTCAATCATATTACAGCAGAGATTTTCCTAAATTTAAAGGAAAAAATCAGAAATTCACACACAGGAACCATTTAGAACCTCAAGTAATCATGAATACAGAAGACTCTCTTCATAATACATTATAGTAAAGATGTCAAGTATACAAAGCAATTAAGAGTTAAAGGTATAAGGACAAAATGCCAATTCACCTACAAAGGTAGAAGTTACAAAATAATATTAGATCTGTCATCAATAACTCTCACAGCCAATAAATAAAAGAAAGCCTCAAGAACAAAGCAGTGATGAAATCCCATCAGATAACTAGCTGAACAAAAGAAAAAAGGACCAGCAAACACCTTAAACTAATATGGAAGAAAGTTACATAAAAATTAAAAAAAAAATCTTTCTGCACCCAGCCTGAAGACAACCAACAAAATTTTAGAACTTGTAAGCATCTCTCAATAACCATCCTAACTAACACAAGTAGCCTCAATCCTTCACTAACAGACATGGGTTAGCTGGCTGGTTGGATTAAAAAATACAATAGATTTTCTATTATGTCCAAGAGCATAACTTACTTGAAAATACTGAGAAACAAAGCATAGAAAACAAGTGAAAGGAAATTGAAAATACATTGGGGCAACCTTTTATAATGATGATAAGATATGTCAACACCACTTCTGGCACTTACATTAATTCTTCTCCTCCATGAAGATCTCTTAGGCTTGGTGTGAGGGATAGGATGAGTATGCTCTATTTAGGACTATCTTAGATAGTTTTTTATTGTGGTATACAGCTTCATAACCAAGGGACGTTATAAAATAAAGCAGATAATTGGAGACTTGGAGTTTTAAAGATTAATAGTCCTAGGAAGTATGGCAACAGACAGACAGGCATGGTGCTAAAGAGCTTACCTTTTAATCTACAACAAATAATAGTCAGAGAGAGATTAGAAATAGTGGAAGTCTTTTGAAAACTCAAAGCTTGTTGCCAGTTATATATCTCCTCCAACAAGATCATACCTCTTACCTAATTCTTTCCAAACATTTCTACCAACAGTGGACCACTTATCCAAACACAAGAACCTATGGGTGAACCATTTTTATTCAAACCAACACAAGGACTCAGCACCTCACAGTCTTTTATTTTCTACATATTGACTACTGAAGGTTTCTGTGTGTGTATGTGTGTATTAACCGCCATCTACTGAAAAGAGAAGATCCTATGGTGATGACTGAGACATGCTCTGATTTATGGGTATAGCAACAATTCATTGGGGATCATTTTACTACCATAACTACTTAGTAGAATAATACAACCTAACTAGGCACAGGTTCCTAGCATCTTAATCAGTGCCAGATATGGGTTCCGTATCATGAAATGGGCATTATTTCCAATGAGAAGGTGGTTGGTTACTTCAATAACATTCATATCACTCGTGCATCATAGAGTATATTTTATCAGGCATGTCATTATTGTAGTTTGTAGTATCCAAATCTGGGCTTGTATTTATTATATGGATCATCACTACTCTGAAGACTGAATTAACAAACAGAAAGAAATGAATAAAACACATTTTTATTTTCACCAAAACAGCAGTTTAGTTATTTACTCAAGAACTTCTGATTCAACAGAAATGTCCACCAATGAACTTTGAGATTTTCAAAGCAGGACTATTTTGTTTAATGTTTTAAAAAATTCTTACTTCTTGGCAGAAAAAAATTTAATGAGTACACTAATTTTTAACTTTTTAGGATTATCTCTTTCATTAGAAAACCATGTAGATTAATTAAAACACCTTTGATGATCTTACATATGATTCATGCATTTATATTGTAAAAGCAATTAAGTGTATCCCACATTACCAATGAGCACAAGTAATTTGGTAGGAAAAAGTAAAGTCAAATGGGTAATCATTCTGTAATAAGACCCACCAGCCTCTCATTTAAACACAGAATAAAAATAAAAGCAGAAGAGAAAGATATCTTTCTCACAAACACAGAGATACTACTATGAAATTGATTAAATGGAGGATTTAGAACTGTGAAACAAGATTGAAGAACAATAAAAGAAATATTCAACCAGAAAATTTCCCTGTGTTGCTTTTACTAAGGGGCAATAGGATAAGGTACCACCAGCCAACTGAAGCCTATTGCTTACTTTTATACATCAACCATGATAAATACTCAGTAATTCTGCCTTTAGAGTTAACTTTTAAGGCAGTATGTACATGAATTAGCGATATTTTATAAAGTACATGAGCAGATGAAGACTTTGGAAAATAAGTGATATAAGCAAATAATTGATATAAGTTCTTATTATTTGAGTGATTAAATAATAGTCACTTATATCATATAGTAAATCTACATGAAAGGAGTAGATTTGAAGTTAATCCATGTCCCCCAAACTAAAAATTGTTATGTATCTCTTAATTATACTTAAATAATCAAGTAACTATAAATGCACATTGAAAATAATTTCATCTAAGAAAATATATATCTTTAGTTGCAATATTTATAAACAAATCAATTCCTTCCTTGTTTCTACAGACTTCTTACTTTTCTTTTTAAGACTATAGGGATGAGAGAAAGATGGTGTCTTAGTAAGAGCTGTAGGGACTGTCTTAACAATACACAAGAAAGAGAAAAGCTATTTGTGCTCTTGTCTGACTTCAAAAGAGTCAATCGAATCAAGCACAGGACTATAGTCCTGTTTAATGCATCAAAATAAAGAGACACACAGAGAGTATAGTACTTAGGTAAAGAATGAGGATAATTAATTTGTCTATAGTTAGAGAGGGACAGACACACTTACAGAGTGAGAGAAACAGAAAGATACAAAGACAGAGTGAAAGAAGACAGAAATAGAGACAGACAAGGAGAGAGAAAGAAACAGAGACACAGAAGTTTAAGATCAGCATCAGACTTGCAACCTAGTATTAGGCCTGGAATGATGCAATGTGGGTACCTGGATTTCTCTGTTTTCAGTTATTGGAGTAGTCGGTCTCTTGCAGTGTATCATTTTATGTAAGCCACTTGATGAGACATCTGGGTCTACCCTAGTCCTTGGGAATGCTGGAGGTTAGATTGATGATGTTACCAGGTACTTTCCAGATTATTTGGAATACTATAATACCATATATTTAGAAGAAACATGAGCAAAAGTATAATAAACAAAACACATAGAATACCTCAATATGAGAGAAATTACTTAGAATGATATACTTCAAAAGATGTTGTTATTTAGAGTTCTATAAATGAAATAGTGACAACACTCCACGAAATAACTCTAAGCAATCGAATTAGTTTGGGCTATCATAAAAAGAAAAGCATCCAAAATCACCCCCCACATGCACACACAGAGGCACAAAACAGGACTAAATATTAATTCTATATCACAGATGAGGTCAGAGGTCAACAAACATCAACATTTTACTGAATACAAAAAAAAGCATCTATGGACAAAGCAAGATAGTCTGTCTTCACCCTTACACTTCACATAGTTCTGATATTCTTATTTGAACAATCTGGTAAAACACAGATGTAAAGCACAACCAATTTGGAATTGGAAGGATCAAACTGATATTCTTTGCACATAACATGATTTTACAGACAGCAAAAAAAGACAAACAAAAATCTCCACATGAAACCTTGTATAACAAATAATATATTCAAAAAAAAGTTGTGTAACAACCAAATAAAACTTAGTATCATTGCTGGCTATCAACAGTGGATTGAGTAAAACTGAAATCAAAAGAGAATCCTACACAAATAAAAACATCTAAGCTATCCTCCTTTACAATGTTTATTTAAAAAAAAAACAATTTAAAACCACAAATGCAAAAAATACCCACAGTGGGAAAAAAAACAGATATCAAAGAATGCAAAGATATCTCATGTTCATGCTTTCATGGGTAGACAAAGTGATATAATTAAAAGATTGATATAAGGTCTTTATGTGTGTACTAATATCTAATGCGATATCTGTAAAAATACCAAGAAAATACTCTACAAAATCTGGTATAAAAATCTAAAATTTATATGGAACTGCACAAACACACACAACAGAACATGCACACACACACACACACACACACACACACAGAGAGAGAGAGAGAGAGAGAGAGAGAGAGAGAGAGAGAGAGAGAGAGAGAGAGCACAAAATGAACCAAGCTGAAAGCATTACATTATTTGGCTTCAAAGCATATCATAATGCTTTTATAGCCTAAACATCATTGTACATACATTTTTTTAAATGGATGCATGCTAATGAAATGGAATAGAGATTCCAGAGGAAAGCTTGTTCATTGACAGCCAAACTGTTTTTACACTTTCAACACACATAGTGGAAAACTGAATGTGTCCATGCTGAAATATAAAAGTAGGTGGTAATATCACATCAGCTACAAAAATCACTTAAATATATTAACACTTGAATGTAAAACCAGGAACTAAGCTATTATAAGAGAACACAAGATCATTTTTAGTAGTTTTTTCTTTCTTTCTTTCTTTTAACAAGACCCTAGAGCCAGGCATTGGTGGCACACAACTTTAATCGTAGTCCTTGGGAGGCATAGGTAAGTGTATCTCTGTGAGTTCCAGAACAGCCTTGTCTACAAGAGCTAGTTCCAGGACAGCCTCCAA